GCAGGGGTCTTGGGATCACTCTGAGGTCTTCCTCCCAGGAGTCCTGCCCAAGAGGAACCAACAGACTTCCTGAGCCGCCTTCGAAGATGTCTCCCCTGCCCCCTGGGGCAGGGAGCAGCTCTCCCTGAGTCCCCGCGGCCTTGCTCTCTGCCCCTCCAGCCCTGCTATGATTCAGAGCCTGGTAAGAGAGTTCCCGAGGTCACCTGTGCAACTGTTGGGGCCAGGGGCTTTGACTGCTGAAGCATAGACAGGATACGAAGTAGTTCAGGGGACCAGCACAGTGGTTAAGGCACTAAGACCAGGCAGCGTGAAAATCACGCCTGGCGCGGGTGTGTGCATGCCCAAAATCCGAAGAAGAGAATGGAGAAGAGATTGCAGCATAGCTGTCCCCAGTGGGGGATGGTTTCTCATTTTTCCCCTCTCACTGTATTCCTGTCTCCGTGCGCGTGCCCCATGGCAGAAATCTAAAAAAGAAGAGTCCGGTTCAAGTCCAGTTTAAGGACACAATAAAGTGGAAAGTTCAAGGGTTTTGTCTTCTTTTACTAACATTGTTCATTGGGTCTCAAACCCATTATACAATGGAAATCGTTAGTGCTTAGAAAGTGGTTGGGAGGAATCTTCCGTTCTGGTGTCCCGGAGGCCCATCATTGCCCCTTCTCACCACAGGCCCAGCTACTCCACACTTCTACGCCCTGGTCGCCCAGCGGCTGGAACAGCTAGTCCAAGAGCAACTGAGATCTCCACCCAGCCCAGGTGAGGTGCAGAGGCCCCCTGGAGAAGGACCGGGTAAGAGAGTAGCAGGGCTGCTCCCCCAGCCCAATTCTCTTCTGCCCACAGAGTTACAGGGTCCCCCACCCACAGAGAAGGAAGCCCTGCTGCGAAGACTGGTGGCCTTGCTGGAGGAGGAGGCAGAAGTCATCAACCAGAAGGTGATGGGCCACTGTTCGTCCCTGGAGAAGTTGCAGGTGGTGGGGCACTGTGATCCCAAGTGGGATCTGCATTTCCTTTGGCTGCTCATGGGGAGGAGGTGGGGCAAGACCATCCTTTAAATGAACGGCTTTCATTTATTGGAGGGCGGTGGCCTAAATACAGGGGGTGTGACCATCAATCATGATCTAGGGGCTGGCGGGTGGTATGGTGGTTAAGGCGGCTGGATCCCACATGACTGACTTCATGGTTCTAGTCCCTGACCCATCCTTTCTGGAACTCAAAGTAAGCTTGGCTCTGGTTCGCTGTTTGTGGCCTCAGCTGGGGTTCTAGGCTACTTTCTGGGAGCAGTTTGGTGGAGACCATAGAGTCTGGTTTATGATTGGCTGGAGGGTGGCTTGGAGAGTTAGCTAGACCCGGGCCTAAAGCAGGAAGCCACGCCTCCCAGCCCGCTATTCGATCGCCTGTGATGGATCCTGCCTCTTCCACCACCTCCCACCCCTCCCACCCCCGCAGCTGGCCTCAGACCCTGCTCTTCGCCGGAAGCTCGTCCGTCTGTCTGCTGGTTCTTTCGCTCGCCTCTTGGAGCTGTTCTTCAGCCGGTCCGGCAGCCCTTGCTCCCGACGCTCAAGCCAAACGCTGCTGTGCCCTGGACCCCCGCCGCCATCCCCAGAGCCCCTGGCCCGCCTGGCCCTTGCCATGGAGCTGAGCCGGCGCGTGGCCCGACTGGGGGGCACCCTGGCTGGACTCAGCGTGGAGCATGTGCACAGCTTTGCTCCCTGGATCCAGGCCCAAGGGGGCTGGGTGAGCCACCTCTCCAGGCCTCGCTTAACCCACTTGTCTTGTGATGGAGGGGACTTGTGACGGTGGGACTAATCAGGTTTCCTTCGGGCTTCATTCGTGCAGCTCTTCTGTCCGTGTTCTGTTTGTTGAGCACCTACCTACAGGGGCGCTGCTGCCATGAGTGTAGACGGTATGTCCGCTTTAAGCCGCAGGTATACACTGACAGTTGTATGCTAGTAATTGCCCCGCCTAGGGCTCAGTTTCCTTTCTGTAAAGTGAGGAGAGTGGTAGTACTCCCTCCAAGGATTGTGGTGCGGACTAACGTGGGGCCATCCTGGGAATCACCTGTCACGTGGCCTTTGTCCGTGTGGTTATCTGTCTCCATCCTCCTGGCCGGTGATAGGCACTAAATGCCCCCTCTCCAACCCCACCCCGGCCTTGCGTCCTCGTAGCCTCTGCTAGGCTCCCCTGTCACCACCAGAGAGGTCGACTTGTCCTCATTTAAAATCACAGCTAGGGACTAGACAATGGTGGTAAGACTTGTCACTCTGTGAGAGTGGCCTACGTGGGGAGAGGTTCTGAATTCACATCTAGAGACGCCCCCCCAAGTACACCAGGCACACAAGGGCCCAGGCTCCAGGGCTGGCTGAGGCTGGGGTGCATCACAGCATGAAGACCTTACAGAGGTGCCATCTTTCTACCATGCTATGGAAGAAATAAATAAATCAACTTTAAGAAATAGTAATAAATTGGGACCAGCTGGTAGTGGTGGTTAAGGCAGCAGGGTCTCACATGGATCCCCCACCCTCCCAGTTTGAGCCCAGAAACCAGTGCCTTGATAAACATGTCAGGCAGGGTCAGCAGGTGGTATGTTTAAGGCACTGGACCTGGTTGCTCTCTCTTTCTCTCTAGTAAGTGCATGTGCCCTATAGCAAAATTTAAAAACAGTAACAGTGCGACCAGCAGATGGTGTAATGGCTATGTCGCTGGACTCCCATGTACCCGACCGTGGTTCGAGTCCTAGACCTGGAGGTTTAAGCTCACACCAGGCGTGTGTGCATGTGTGCCCAAGATCCCTAGAGGAGGATAGAGGAGAAGGGATTGTGGTGTGGACGTCCCCACTGGTGGTGATTTCTCGCTTTCTGTCTTTCTGGCGAGCACATGAGCCCTATAGCAAAAACCTCTACAAAAAAATACTAATAGTAAATAAAATTACATCTTTTATTTTTGGAGAGGGTATTTTTTTAGAGCAATTTTTGTTATAGGGCTTGTGGCTCACCAGAGATAGAAAGTGAGAAATCACTCCCTGGGGGGGATAGCCGTTCCACAATCCCTTTTCCTCCATTCTCCTCTCAGGATCTTGGCCTGCATGCACATATGTCAGGCATGAGTTTTCTTTTCTTTTTTTGGGTTTTTTTTTTTTTCATTTTTTTTAACTGTGGCTAAGACAATATTTAGGCCTTGGAAACGCATCAGTAAAAAAATTCAGTGCCTTTCCTGAAGAGGCAGATGGTCTCGTGGGAGAGCCACAATAAACAAACATTACAATGGAAATATGTAGATAGTAAAGAAAAAAAGAAAACAGCAGCATGGAAGTGTTGAGGAAGACTTCAGTGGCAAGAATTTGAACAAGTCATTTTAAAAAGGAGATGAGGAATATCCTGAGAACTTTGCGAGGATTGGCATTTCAAGAAGAAAAAATGAGGATATGAGAAAATAAGACATGAATCACAGAATTATTCAAGGAGATGCAGTTATCTTAGTACTACTTGAAGGGAATGGGAAATAGGGCAAATGGTGATGGTGGCTATAAGACAGGCAATTTGGAAAGTCAGGAGATCAGGAATGTTCTTAGTTTTCAGATAAATTAAATTTGAATTTTAAAATGCTTTTGAGTTGGGGGTGGGAATGACATAGTCATACTTAAATTTTGGAAAGGAATTGTTATCATTAATATGCATGATGCAATACTGAGTTTAGAGGTAGACATTTGTGAGTCACTATCACAAGACCGTGTCCAAGAATGGTAGTACATGTCACTAATAGGTGCATTGCTTCAAATAAAAAAAATATATATATAACCAAAATTAAACATACCCACCATAAATAACTGGATTACTACTGAAAAAGAAGGTATATAAGTGTGAATGTGTCCCAAATTTTTTCTTAATTTGAGTTGAATTGTGTATCTCTGGGTATTTAGTATTGTTATGCTCTCCCCCCCAATCAATAGTTCTTAAAAAAAAAAAGAAAGAAAGAAAGCTACTAATATATATTGTCAAGATGTTCTTTAAAAAAGAAAAAAGAACACATCAGGCACATGTGCATGCATGCCCACAATCCGGAAGAGAGAATATAGAGGAGAAGGGATGCAGCGAGGCCACCCCCCGGGGGGCATTTCTCACTTTCTCCAGTCAGCACTTGCACGCTGTAGCAAATAATAAAACCGAAGGCACGTCCGCACCTCCCGCTCCCCTCAGGCCCTGCACTGCTTTCCTTTTCTAACAGCCGGTAGCCGGGCGCGGGCCTCCCTGTTTTCGTACTTACTTCTGTTCGCGCTCTCTCTCTCTCTCTCTCTCTCTCACTGACCTGCCTTGCTCCTGCCTCATCGCCAGTGCCTGTCTCCGAGTCGGACTGCGCTCCAGCGTGCTGTCCGTGTGACCTTAGCAGCTGGCCCCCTCCCTGGGCACCAGTCTTCTCCTTGGCCCAGTGGGCCCCAACACTCCTACCTGCTTCCTGGGTGCCTGTGGCGTCTCCCTGAGCTCAGGGTGCAGGCCAAGCTCTGGAATGTGACCCCTTCCCAGACTAACAGAGCTGGCTGGGTGTGCTCCAGAGGCAGGGAGCGGGAGAGGGCGAGAGGTGAGATGTGAGCCAGACCACGCAGTGCTTGTGGTCCTCGTGGGAACTCGCACTTCTGACCCTGAGTGAGCCAAGGTCTCTGAGCAGCGGAGGGATGGGAGCTAACCTAGGTGTGAGCGAGTGCCCTCCTGCGGTCACGTGTGGGAGCAAACCACAGGGTGAGAGTCACCGCAGCACCAGAGACCAGGGTGCAGCAGCCTGAGGTAGGGGTGGGGGGATTCCAGACAGACTGGATGGCTGGATGTGGGAGCTGAGTAAGGGCTATCGGCCTGAGCTGCTGCAGGGCTGTGCCCACCTTTCTGGAGAGGAGGAAGATGGGATGGCAGGCCAGAAGGCAGCTTCGGGCAAGTCAGAGGTGATGAGAGATGGTTCAGCTAGGAGTCAATCACCCATCAGCCCTGAAAGCAGATGTGGAAGGGAGACTGGATGTAAGTGTGGAGTTCAGCAAAGAACTTCATTTCTTTGTTAAAAAAAAAAAAAGGACCAGCAGATGGCATAGTGGTTATGTCATTGGACTCCTACATAATCGACCGCAGTTCTAATCCCAGACCCGGTACTTAATACTCACGCTGGGCATGTATGAGTGTGTGCCCAAAACCCCGAGAGGAGAATGGAGGAGAGGGGATTGTAGTGTGGCCATCTCCCCAGGGCTGATGTCTCGCTTTCTGTTTCCGCCTCTATCTCTTTGGCAAGCACACACACCATACAGCAAAAAAACATTCCTGAGCAAAAGAGATATATAGAGAGAGAGCTACAGCACCCCATCCACGTCCTGATGCGTGGCCCAACCCCAGCCTTGGCCGGCTTCAACCACGGGCGTCCCTGTGCCTGGTGTACTCGGGGAGGTCCAGGTGTGAACTGGTCGCCCTCCCATGTGGGGCAACCTCACAGGTGCTGCATCTTACTGCTGTGCTGCCTCCAACCCCGATGGTCTTTTTCCTAAGAATGATGACAGGTTGGGGGCTGGGAGCAGGTGGCGTGGTGGTTAAGGCGCTTGGACACTCCCACAGGGCCGACCACAGTTCAAGTACTAGACCTGGTGACTTGCTTTCTCATCCCCCCCCCCACCACCACTGGTGAGCACACTGAATAAAAATTAAATAATTCTTAAAAAAAAAAAAAAAAGAATGATGAGAGGTAAGTGGGCATTTGTGGGGAACCGGATACCTGGTCAAAGACTTCGGTGATCACATTCAAACCCCACAACCATCTCATGGGGTTCTGCTAGTGTCCTTGTCTTAGGTGAGCTGAGAGGGAAAGTCCCTCGTGCAGGGTGGGGGACACTAAGTCCTGACTTAGTTAAAACCTCAGACCTCTGCCCCTCTCCATCTGGGTCTCTGGGTGTCGGCCCATCCCCCCCATTCCCGGCTTCCCCTGCCTGGCCTCAGTGACCTGGTGCCAGGGTCTTCGCTCACAGGGTCTTCCTCTTCCCCACTAGGAGGGTGTCCTGGCCGTTTCTCCTGTGGACTTGAACTTGCCCCTGGACTGACTTCTGACTCCTCTTCAGAAGCTGCTGCAAGATCGGACCTCACGTTCCTCCCCCACTCGCTCCCCACGTGTTTTCTCAACCTCTTATCCCACTCAGGGCTGTGGGGTGGTGGCTGCCCTACTTGTTTTTGCCAAAAATAAATAAAATGGTTAAAAACTTTTCATATTAAATTGGTTTTTTAAAGGTTTTTGCCATAGGGCATGTATGCTAGCTAGAGAGAGTGAGAGAGAAATCACTCCCAGGGGGATGACCATGCTTCAATCCCTTCTCCATTCTCCTGGGATTTGGGGCACACATGCACATGTGCCCACTGTGATTTTCAAGCCACCGGGTCCAAGACTCGACCCTACCTCAGCCATATGGGAGACAATCACCTTTACTACTATGCCACCTGCTGGCCCCAAAACTTTATATTAAAAACATTAAAGGGCCAGCCAGTGGTATGGTGTATCTCCCATAGCTGACAATGTGTTTTGAGTCCCAGACCTGGTCGCTTAAAAACCATGCAGGACTGGACCTGTAGCTGGTGTGGTGGTTAAGGGTGCCGGACTCCCACATGGCTGACTATAGTTCAAGTCCCGGGCCTGGTGGCTTGCTTTCTCACTTTCTCTCTCTCTCTCTCACTCTGTTCCTCTTTGGTTTAAAATAAATTAAATAAATTAAAAACAAACAAGCAAAAAACCATGCAGGATAAGGCCAGAGGTGGCATGGTGATTAAGGTGTTGGATTTGCACATGACTACCACAGTTCAAGTCCTGCACCTGGTGACTTGAAAGTCAGCCAGCTACGTGTGTATGCATGCCCAAAACCCCAGGAGGAGAACGGAAGAGAAGGGATTGCAGTATGGCCATCCCCCGCAAGGGGTAGTTTCTCACTTGCCCTGTGCTTCTCTCTAGCAGGCACACACACCCTATGGCATATTAACAAAAAGAGAAACTTTAAAAAGTATTGCTTCTTTTTTTATAATATTTATTTAATTTTATTTCATTTATTCATTCATTTATTTTAATTTGTCCAGAGAGAGACACAGAGAGAGAGGGAAAGTGAGAAAGCAAGCTACCAGGTCCAGGACTTGTACTGGGGTCAGCCATGTGGGAGTGTCCAGCACCTTAACCACCACGCCACCTGCTGGTCCCCAAAAGTATTGCTTCTTTTTCTCAAGACCTAAAATTGGGGGCCAGCAGGTGATGTGGAGGTTAATAGCATTGGATTCCCACATGGCCAGCCGCGGTTTGAGTCCCAGACCTGGCAGCTTGCTTTCTCATTTTCCCTCCCCCCGCCCATCTCTGTCACTCTAAAATAAACAAATAAATAAAGGAAAGTATTAAAAGAGATCTAAAATTCTATTTTTAAAAAATTATTATTTGCCTTTATTTATTTTAATTTGAACAGAGAGGGACACAGTGAGAGAAAGAGAGAAAAAGGGAAAGTGAGAAAGCAAGCTGCCAGGTCCAGGACTCAACCGCGGTTGGCCATGTGGGAGTCCAATGCCCTTAACCACCACGTCACCTGCTGGCTCTAAAATTCTATTTTTAAAAAATCTTTTAGGGACCAGCAGGTGGCATGGTGGTTAAGGCACTGGACACTCCCACATGGCCGACCATGGTTCAAGTCCCGGACCTGGTGACTTGCTTTCTCATTTTCTCTCTTTCTCTCTCTGGTCCAATTAAAAATAAGTGAATGAATAAATAAAATTAAATAAATATTTTTAACATTTAATTTTATTTAGTATTATTTTTTAATTTGCTATAGGACACGTGAGCTCACTGGAGAGAGAGGGAGAGACAGTGTGCAAGGAAGCTGGCAGGTCCAGGACCCAAATCATGGTCAGTCATGTGTGGGTCCAGCGCCTTACCCACCAAGCCACCTGCTGGCCCCAAGAACTAGATTTCTAAGGAGCGGAGATTTACAAATCTCCGAGGTTTGTAAGTTCGGGAAAGATCCTGTTTGTTCATTCTAGAATTATGTGAGCACCTACAAGAGCCTTGGACTCGCCTGGACACGTGGTGTCTTTGAGGACTTGGGTGATTGTAGTGAGTTACATGTTCTCCTATTGCATGGTTTGGTTGTTCCACCTACCTCTATTTTCTAATTTCTCTCTATTTATTTATTTTGGAGAGTTTTTTTTGCTATAGGGCGCGTGCGCTTGCCAGACGGACAGAGAGAGACAGAGAGACAGAAAGCAAGAAATCACCCCCCAGGGGGGACGGTCATGCTGCAATCCCTTCTCCTCCGTTCTCCTCTCAGGATCTTGGGCACACACGCACACACGTCTGGCGTGAGTTTCAAGCCACCGGGTTTGGGACGTGAACCGCGGTCGACTATGTGGGAGTCCAGCGACATAGCCATTATGCTAACTGCTGGTTCCCTCTCTCTTTATTTTCAGCGTGAATCATAGCTCCCAGCTCTGAATTGACTTTCTGAAACCCACAAAAGCCCTAACGGGGATCTGTGAGCTTGCAGAGGCAGACTATAGTCAGAAAAGAACCAAAACAAAACCTTCCTTCGTTTTCCTTCCCTTTTTTCTTTCTTTTTTTTTTTTAAAGAATTATTTTATTTAACTTTATTTATTATTATTATCATTGTTACTTTCCAGTTTGATCAGAGACAGAGAGAGAGTGAGGAAGTGAGAAAGCAAGCCACCAGGTCCGAGACTTGAACCATGGTTGGCCATGTGGGAGTCCAGCACCCTCAACCACCACGCCACTTGCCAGCCCCTTCCCTTTTTTCTTTCTTTTCTTTCCTTCCTTCCTCCTTCCCTCTCTCCCTCCCTCTCTCTCTCTCTTTTGTTCTTTTTCATTCCTGCCATAGAGGGCTTTCCTTCACCAGAGACAGAAAGAGGGAAGGTGAGAAATCACCTTGCTTTCTCATTTTCCCTCCCCCTGCCCCTCTCTGTCACTCTAAAATAGGCAAATAAATAAAATTAAATGAAAGTATTAAAAGAGATCTAAAATTCCACCCAGGGAGGATGGCCATGTTGCAATCCCTTCTCCCCTACTCTCCTGTCAGGATTTTGGGCACACACACACATGTGCACTGTGGGAGTCCAGCACCTTAACTACTGCTCCACCTGTTGACCCTGCTGGCATGATTTTATTTTTAGAGAAATTTTTGCTATAGGGCATGTGTGTTCACTACAGGCAGGACAGAAAGTGAGGAGTCACTCCCTAGGGTGGATGGCCACACCACAATCCCTTCTCCATCCCTTTCTTTCTTTTTTTTTGAGAGGTTTTTAGCTACAGGGCGCGTGCACTTGCCAGCCAGACAGAGAGAGACAGAGAGACAGAAAGCAGGAAATCACCCCCCGGGGGGATGGCCATGCCGAATCCCTACTCCTTCATTCTCCTCTCGGGATCTTGGGTACGCACACACATGTGCTCAGCGTGAGTTTTAAGCCACCGGGTCCGGGACTTGAACCGCGGTTGACTACATGGGAGTCCAGCGACATAGCCATTACGCTAACTGCTGGTCCCTTCTTCTTCTTCTTTTTTTTTTTTTTTTTTGAGAGAGATTTTTCACTATAGGGCATGTGTACTTGCCGGAGAGACAGAAAGGAAGAAATCACCCCCAGGGGGATGGCTATGCCGCAATCTCTTCTACATTCTCCTCTCGGGTTCTTGGGCACACATGCATGCACACTCGGTGTGAGTTTTAAGCCGCTGGGTCTGGCACTCAAACTGAGGTGACTATGTGGGAGCCCAGTGACGTAATCATTATACCATCTGCTGGTCCCCAGCATGATTTTTTTTTTTTAGCGATTATTTTTTTAAATGGCCAACTTATTTTTTAAACATTTTATTAGTTTTAATTATTTATTTAACTTTATTTATTCATTCATTCATTTTTATTTTGACCAGAGAGACACACACACATAGAGAGAGAGAAGGTGAGAAAGCAAGCTACCAGGTCCAGGGCTCGAACAGTGGTCAGCCATGTGGGAGCATCCAGCACCTTAACCACCATACCACCCGCTGGTCTCATTAGCGATTTTTGCTATAGCGCGCATTTGCTTGCCGGAGAGACAGAGACAGGAAGCGAGAAATCACCTCCCAGGAGGATGGCCATGCTGCTGCAATCCCTACTCCTTCGTTCTCCTCTCTTGGGATCCTGGGCACGCACACACACGTGCCCTGTGTGAGGTTTAAGCCACTGCATCCGGACTCGAACCGCAGTCGACTCTGTAGGAGTCTAGTGATGTAACCGTTACTCCATCTGCTGGTCCCCTGGCATGATTCTTAAGCTGCTGGGTTCAGGATTTAACCACCAAGCCAGCCACATGTGATCCAGCATTTTAATTCCCACGCCACCTGCTGACCCCAGCTAACTGTATTGGTGGTCCTGGAGCCTTTGGCTCATCCAGAAGGCAGTCCCCACCCTCTTTGCTGGGCGGCACCATCACTGCCTTGTTTTTCTCCTCCTGCTCCTCTGGAGCCTTTTTTGCTGGTTACTCCCCAAGTGCCTATAGACTGACAGTTTGTCGCCTTTTTAGGGCCATTTCTCCTTCACAGAAGAACAACAAATGCGTAAAATGACATGGATAGGGTTACAAAGGGAGTCACTCACAGCCGGTGGTCCTCACTACTGGTGGGGCGGGCTGCAAGGAGCTGCCTGCTCCTGTTCATTCCCAGTTGATGCGCTTATTCAGTGCCCATACTGCAAGTAAATTTCCTTCTCTAGGTCCATTTAGTGCCAATTTTTCAAATTATTGTGCTTTTTTTGGTCATCTCAGTTTCCTTTCCTTTCTTTTCTTTTCTTTCTTTCTTTTTTTTTTTTTTTTTTGAGACGTTTTCAATGGCCACAGCGCACACTCCCCAGAAAGACAGAGAGAGATGGAGATGGAAAGCGAGAAATCACCCCTCAGTGGGGATGGCCACTCCACAATCCCTTCTCCATTCTCCTCTTGGAATCTTGAGTACGCGCACACACACAAGTCCAGCGTGAGTTTAAGCCACCAGGTCTGGGACTTGAACTGCGGTCGACTACAACTACATAGCAGTTCAGTGATATAGCCATTAAGCCAATGGCTGGTCCCAGTTTGTTGTTGTTGTTTGTTTGTTTTGTAGTAGTTGCCAGAGGGCATGTGGCTTGCAGGATACAGCAGGAGCCAGCACTCCCCTGGTGGGGTGTGGCCACACCACAGTCCTTTCTCCGTCTCCCCATCCTTTCAAGATTTGGGGCACGCAGGGACACACTCCTGGTTGTACTTGAAGTTGTTAGGGCCAGGATTCCAACCACTGTCAGCTAGGTGAGATTTGGCATCCTTACCCACTAGGCCACAGGGCCAGCCCAGTGTCCCTGCTTACGTGGCGTTTGCCACTCCTAGGTAGAGGATCTGAAGTCAGCACCCCGAGAAGTGAGGGAGGGGCTGCACAGTGGGACAAAGGCATGGGAGCGAGTGGTGGTCCCCGGACTGGGAGGGGATGGTGTAGCAGCCAGGATTGGGAGTGGGTGGGTGTGAGACCCTGTGAGGCCAAGGAGGGGATGGACACCTGGCAAACGCCTGGCTGAGGCGCTGAGACTGAGGCTGTCCCGGGCCTGGCCTGCGGGGAGGGGTGGGTCCCGGCGGGGACACCTGGCGGCTGTGAGGCAGCGGAGGAGTTTGGGATCGCAGTCCATGATGGAGGGGACAGTCCAGCCATGTCAGGGGCAAAAAGGTCGTGGCCAAGGACTGACAGGCGGTGGGAGGGAGGGGCCCAGTGGTCCGGCCCGGTGACTGGAGAGGTGAGGTGGCTTTCCCGATCTGGGGACCTGAGAAGAGCGGCGGTGCGGGAGACCCACAGCCAGTGTCGTGTTGGGTGTGATGGGCCTCGGTGACAGAGTGGAGAGGTGCGTAGAGAGGTCATACTGGAAATCGGAGGACAGCCTGTTCCGAGGCCACAGACAATAGAGCGGGCGCGTTCGGGGATCGGAGGGAAGTTGGAACTGAGGACAGTGGTGCGACAGGGGGCGGGAGAGGCGGGCTCCACGAATTCGGCCCTTTCCATCATCTTCACTCCGCCGGTAACTTTCCTGCAGACGGAGGAAAGCTCCTGGAGCAGCGGCTTCTAGACCGTGGGCTGACAGAGGTGGAGGAACGGGCCAGACAAAGGGAGGTGGGCGTTCCGGCCAGGGGAGGGCCTCGGCCAAGGCCAAGTGACTGGAGAAGGGCTGTCGGGTTATTAACCTTGGAGCGGTTAAGGAGAGGGCCGGGAGGTAAACGCATTGGTGTCTGACCGCTGTCCCTGACTTGTGTCGGGCTCCGAGACAAGCCCCCTCTCTCTGGGGCTCTCACTGCTTCCGTTTTTCCCCTGGTAAATGGACACTGGAGCCCTTGTTCCTCCCGGACACCCCTCGGGCTGGGAGACTCCATCGAGTGGACGAAGGATGACAGTGCCTTTGAGCCAATCGCTGGCGCCTGAGGCCCGCCGTTGTCCCTCTCCGTGGGCCAATAGCCGTGCTCTTCTCTAGTCCAAGTAGCTTAGCGAGACCAGGCCAAAGGCCTCTGACAGCACCATTTGGAAAAACCAATAGCAGCGATTAAGAGGCGGGTGGTTTTGATGATAGACACCTCTGTTTCAAGACGTCCGCTGAGCGCGGGGCCCGCCGGGAAGCTTTGAGGCGGTGCCAGGAGAAAGAGGCGGGAGATCCATGTCGATTTTGCCCAATCACTACTCACGCTCTGTGAGATAGACGGGCAGTTTTCCCCATCCCGGTCGAGTTGAGGGGGCGGGTCCCTAAACGACAGACTGGGAGGGCACTGACGTTTGATGGGCGTCTTTTCTACCCAACTGCTAGGAGCTATTTTCAGACGTGCCGCCTCCGTTGCCAATGAGATCTTCTGGCGGGGTCGCGATGGGCGGGTCGTGGACCCTCCGGTATAAGGCGGTCCCGGAGGAGTGAGGAGAAGGGGGGTCTCGGCGGCCAGAGGAGGAGTAGGTGCGGGTGAAGATGGCGGCAGCCGAGGCCGCGAACTGCATCATGGAGGGGAGCGCCTGGAGCGCCGCGGTGAGCGCCTGGAGCGCCGCCGGGGGTGGGGTGCGACTTGGGGGTCGGTGTTTTATGCCTCCGTCGTGGGAAAGCGGCTCCGAGTCGGCAAGTCGGGGCTGAAGGCCCCCAGCCGCACGAACGGGACGCCGCATGCTCCGGATCTGGGGATATTGTTTGAGGTGGGGGTTCCCTAGCCTTCGGGGCCTCAGGTGCTCGGTGGAGACGTGAGTCTCATTCCCCCCTCCCACGTGGAGGAGGGCCGGGGGCTCTTCCGGCCGGGCCCCCACGTGGCCGCGGCACGGTGGGTGGGGAGGGGGTGTGCCGAGGCCTGTAGCCCAGCGGGCTCCACGTGCGGGACAAAGGCCCCGCCCCCGGTCCGGGGAGGGGCGCCCGGAGACACGGGAAGGAGGCTCCGACCCTTCCTCTGAGGCCCCCAACCCTACTTCCTGGGCTGGGATACATCTTGGGGTGCAGTCTCCCTGGGGCTCTCCCGATGTGAGCAGCCTCTTGGGAGGAACAGTGCTTGTCGCTCTTCTACAGTCCTTTACCCGGTTCTGAGGGCATTGCTGGGACATCGATCCCGGTTTCGTGCACCTTCGCTTTGGGATTGGAGGAGGAGGAAGAATTGGGCCCCCACTTTCTCCTCCCTTTCCTGTTTCTGATTCTCCTCCTCCCGGGGCGTTAGAAGCTGGGGGATGGGGCTTGCCCCTGTGACCTCCCTCCGGATGGTGGTGGGGCATCCAAACAGAGAGATCCTTCCCGATAAGGCTCTGTGCACCCCCTTGTGGCCGTTTCTGGGCGTGTAGGAGGGACATCTTTTTCATGGGGCGTGTCCCAAAGCCCACCTCCCCGCTGGAGCCCTCCCAGTTGTGGGGGGTGCATGTCTGCCGGGAAGGAGTTGTGATGGGAAATACCGAGGCTGTGAGCCCACACTCCATTTGTGAGAGTTGGAGACCCCTCCCCTTCCCAAAGCCCTGTGCAGGGGTCCCGACCCCCAGTGCCGGTGGTAGTGGCGGTTTCCAGGAGGTTTGGTTCCTGTGCGCCGTGCGGGGGATGCTCTAGACTTGCTTCAAGGCCTGTTGAGCTGGGGTTGTCTGGTGCTGATGACAGTGGTGTTGAGAGCAATGGGCCGCGTGGGTGGCTCCGTGGATTAGGACAGTGGGGGTCTTGGAGTCCCCCGACTGTGGCTTGGCCTTTTCTTGGAGCCTGGGAAGACTGGCATCTGGAGGAGGTGGAATCTGATGGGGCCTCAGCCTTTTGTCCGTTACTTGCAGCACTTTCTGGTGGGGGAGGCCAGCTCCGCAGCTATGGGCAACAGCTCCCAGTGGCAACTCCAGTGGCCACCCGCCCCACAGCCCTCTTGGCCCTCCTAGCTGGTGGCTGTATAGGTTGAGGACATGCCTTCCTTGGTTCCACACCTGGGCCCTTCGGGGCCTGGGCCTGTATCTGCATGGGAGAGCAGGGCTGTGATTGCCCCAGCTCCATTCTGGAGCCCTCTGTTCCTAAGAGAGTCCAGGCACTGGCCGCCGTCCTCTGGCCCTGCCTTCCCAGGTGGAGGGCAATGAGGGAGGAGACTGGTTTCAGCTCTTTTTGTTCTGGGCTTCCTGAGCCCAAAGCAAGGGTTTAGGCCCGGGGTCCTGTGTGGTGGGGGTGCCTGTGTGCCAGCACTTTTCTGGAATCCTCTCAGACAAGAGACTGGCTCAACCAGGTGGCAGGTGCCCAGCTGCATACCCTGCAGCCCCCCTCCCTCCAGCTATTCGTGGCACCCCGGGTTGGGGGTGTGTGTCAGGAAGTGTCACCTAATCTGGGGGGATTAGGTGATGAGGGGGAGCGACAGCTGGTGGTGCCTGTGTGCCCCGCGGGTGCCAGTTCCTCCGGCCTGGATGGGGGAGGTGTGTGTGGTCAGCTGCCTGGCCAGAGAGGGGCAACAAGAGGGTGGCCGCCATCTCTCCAGCCACAGGCGGGGGAGGAGAGCCCCACAGCTGGGATAGGAGACCCCTCCCCCACCCCACCCCTTTCCTCTACAGCCTGGTCACATTACTTGCCCATCTGCTCCCCCCACCAAGGCAAAGGCAAAGGGCAGGGAAGCCACCTGGTCCCAGCCTGCTCCATCCAGCCCGGCCCTCCCTTCTCCAGCCACTCCCGGTAGCTAATCCTTTCTCCGTTACTCTCTCCTAGAATTTTGTAGCCACCTTGGCTAATGGGATGAGCCTCCAGCCGCCTCTTGAAGAAGTAAATATCCTTTTGTGAGACCCCCACCCCCCACCTCCACAGAAACCTCTCCCCATGCAGCTGGCCCTCGAGAGGTCTGACCACCATCCCCCTTGCTTCCAGTGTACTCCATGCGGCCCACACACTTAGTCCAAGCCCCTCCAGGCTCACGGCCCCCTCCCGGCCCGCCCCATTGCAGCTGCTTCCTTAACTCCATCTCCAGCCCCCTGTGCCCTCCTTGTGCCTGCCCCAGTTCTGCCTTGCCCTCCCCTCCCCAGCTGTGGGCTGAGCTAGAGACGGGGGCAGAGAGACTGGAGAGATGGTAGGCGTGGCTGAGGTATCTGGTGCTGCCCTGGATGGTGCTCTGGGGGGGACCTGGAATCGGAAAGTGGGTTTTTGGGGCTCCTGGGGAGACAAGATGGCAGGCGGGGGCTGTAAGTTTACCGTGGTATGATTTTGGGGGTGCCGTACTCCTCTACAGGGGAGAGTAGAGACCTGTTTACAAGGCTGTGGGGAGCCCCCAGATTTGACCCGTGCCCCCATCCCCCCTCCCAGGTCTCCTGTGGTCAGGCAGAAAGTAATGAGAAGCCCAATGCCGAGGACATGACCTCCAAAGATTACTACTTTGACTCCTACGCCCACTTTGGCATCCATGAGGTGAGTGTGGACGCCGCGGATCCTGTGGGGTTAAATGTTGAGAAGGGGTGGATGGTAATTTCCCGCACATGCTCACTGCCTCCTGGCAGCGGGCCGCCTTGCTACCCTTTTCTGTGGCTTCAAGGCTCACATCCCAGGGTCTCCTCGCCCAGCCGTTGCCTTGGAGACCGAGGTTAGCCTGGCTCTCCGCAGGACCGCTCTAGGGAGGCTGGAGGCGGGAGGCGGGTGGGAGCACGCATGCGTGCCTGAGACCTCAGCTTGAGGTCAGAGCCTCCTGGTCTCTGCCGCCCTCTAGTGACGGGCAGTGGCACTGCGTCCCACCTGCTCAGGCACTGATAGCTTCTGGACCCATCTGGACAGAAGCCGAGGTCCCAGAATCTGGCTGAAGGAGCTTCTTCTTTGTTCTTCCTTTTTTTTTTTTTTCCTTTTTGGCTAGGCTTTTTTTATCCCTTATAGTCAGGGGACTCTTGTACTTAACGGGAGGATGGAAGGAGAAGGGAAAGCATCCCCTCCAGTGGGACAGTCACTGCACGAACCCTTTTCTTCCGTTTCCCCATCCTCTGGGGATTTGGGGAATGCATGCACATACACCAGCATATTTTTCAACCAGCCAGGCCTAGGATTCAGGCTGTGGTTGGCCATGTGAGATCTGACTCCCTATACTGTGGGTTACGGGGCTGGCCCATGCCGAGGCCTTTTGTAACATGGTAAGGGGCAGACAGGTAGTGTAGTGGTTGTGGCCCTGGACTCCCTCGTGGCGGACCACGTTTTGATCTCAGACCCAGCAACTTCAAACACAGGTACCTGTGTGTGGGTGGCCGAAATCTTGACAGGAGAATTGGGGAGAAGGGATTGTGGCATGTCCATTCCCCCTGGGTGGACATTTCTCACTTTTCTCTCATGAACTCTGTGCATGTGTGTCTCCAGTGAGCGCATGTGCCCTATACCAAAAATCTCTTCAAAAAAGGAAGGAAAATCGTGATAAAATTTACATAACATAGGGGCCAGCAGGTGCCATAGTGGTTAAGGCACTGGACTCCCACATGGCCGACCGCAGCTTGAGTCCTGGACCTGGAGACTTGAGGCTCAGGGCAGGAGAGAGCATATACATGTGTGACCAAAATCCCAGGAGGGAATTGAAGAGATTGCAGGGTGCCCAAACCCTGGGGTGTGATTTCTCACTTTCTCTCTGGCGAGTGCATGCACCCTATCCGAAACGAAAAGAAGGGTAAATTATATAACATAACGACACCATATTTTCCATGTACAGTTCAGTGACTTTATGTTACTGGTGACTTTATTTTTATAGTTTTTGCTATAGGGTGCATACTCTTGCCAGAGAGCATGAAAGTGGGAAATCAGTTTGACCAGAGGGAGGCAGAGAGAGAGAGCTAGGAAGAAAGCAAGCTGCCAGGTCTGGGACCTGAACTGCGGTCAGCCATGTGGGAGTCCAATGCCTTAACCACCACGCCACCTGCCAGCCCCCTACTGATGACTTTTTTTTTTTTTTTTAAGGTTTATTTTATTTAGCTTTGTTTGCTTGTTTTTAAATTTGACCAGAGAGGGACAGTGTGAGAGAGAGAGAGAGAGAGAAAGCAAACCACAAGTTCTGGGACTCAAACCATGGTCGGCCATGTGAGAGTCCAGTGCCCTTAACCACCACTCTACCTGTCAGCCTCTTGACTTTTTTTTTTTTTAATAATTATTTCATTTTATTCGTTCATTTATTTAAATTTGATGCGAGGGAGGGAGCGCGCACGTGCGTGTGCAAACCACCAGGTCTGGGACTCGACCCACGGTCAGCCATGTGGGAGTGTCCAATGCCTTAACCACCACGCCACCTGCTGAGTCTTAGGTGGCCCTGGTAGCATTCGGTTAAGATGGAGTCTTCACTCTCTAGGTCTTCTAGGCTGCTTTTACAAGTAGGGAAACAGAGGCATTGAAAGGGAAGTGGTTAGTTCCAAGGGCACTAAGCAGTGGGAGGACTGAGCTCTGGCCCCCCAAAATGTCAGTGTGGTGGAGGCCAAGCCTCCTGGTCTCCAGCTGGAGACGCGGACCCCCCACAGCATCTGTGTCCCCTCCCAGGAAATGCTGAAGGACGAGGTGCGCACCCTCACGTACCGCAACTCCATGTTTCACAACCGGCACCTCTTCAAGGACAAGGTGGTGCTGGACGTGGGCTCGGGGACAGGGATCCTTTGCATGTTCGCTGCGAAGGCCGGGGCCCGCAAGGTCATTGGGGTGAGTCTTCTGGGTAGCCGGCAGGCCTGGGCTTGGGGGTGGCAGGGGAGCCCAGTGGGGCTCAGGAGTTGGATGGAGGGGGATGGGTGCTGAGGACAGGCCCGGGGTCTCACCTTCCCTTCTTCCTGGGCCCTCAGATCGAGTGTTCCAGTATCTCTGATTATGCGGTGAAGATCGTCAAAGCCAACAAGTTAGACCACGGTGAGCCCAGGACGAGAATGGGTTTATGGGGCTGGAGTGGGTAGTTCCCAGCTTCCCCAGGCCCTCGGCCGAGGAAGGGGGCCGCTGGTGGGCCGTGGCTTCAGCCCTTCCTCCCGCGTGGTCTCCCAGACAGCCGGCCGCCTTCCAGCTCAGCGTCAAAATTGCAAGCTCAGCACCTCAGTGTTGGAGTTAGGGCCACGCGCACCCGCTGGTTTCTTGAATGAGTAGCAGTCACGTGGTTGACTGCTGAGGGCCAGGGTGAGCAGACTCCTCCCTCCATTTGAGAGTCACCCACATCCCCTTCCAGAGAGTCCACGCCTCTAAGCTCGTGGGCCTGGGAGGGTCTCGGGCTCACTGAACGATGTTTCCTGCGTACTCCTGCCTTTGCTTCATTCACCAGCGGATCGTGTAGTTCGGGTTGGGGTGTCAAGACTCCACGTGCACAGCCCCGACCTTCCTTAGAGGTCACTTTCTCCTGCCACGGGGAGAGACAGGCAGTCTCAGCACCACGGCCCACCCCTGACTCAGTCCAGATCATGAGTGTGCACACAACTGATGTGTACACGGGGGCCTGAGGATGGGGACCCGCGACCGTCACAGAGGTCGTGTTAATGCTGGGTCACTGCGCTGGCCCCACACCTCAGCTGCTTGAACCAGTTTCCTGCTGGTGGGCATTTAAACTGCTGCTGAGCGGGTCACCCTGCTCCCCCGGGGGGCATTTTGAGTGTACCTGTCTGCAGTTGGTTTACAGAAGCACAGGGGTCAGCCCTGAGTGAGCGCGGTGGAGACACCTGGGCATGGGGAGGGGACGTGGGGCACTGTGGGCATTCCACACGTGGCCTCAAGTAACATGCTGTCCAGAAGAATGAACCCGCAGCCACCATCACAGCTGTATTCTCTCCATGGAAGCTGCAGTATCATCCGGTGTGACTCCCCTGTGCATCTCTGATAGCGAAGGCCGTTGGGAAACTCGACCGTGCTGTTACTTAGTGCATCAGACCCAGCTATCCCCCCAGACACCCCACATAACGTTCCTGCCCTGCCTTAACGGTGTCCAGTGCTGTGTGGCTTCAGCTTGCTGCTTTTCTTTTCTTTTTTTTAAAGTGTTTTTTAACTTATTTTCTCTATGAGAGAGAAACAGGAGAGGGACCAGCAGAGGGCATAATGGTTACATCGCTGGACTCCCACAAAGTTGACTGCAGTTTGAGTCCCAGACCCAGCAGCTTAAAACTCATGCCAGGCGCATGTGCACGTGTGCCCAGAATCCTGAGGAGAACGGAGGAGAAGGGATTGCGGCATGGCCATCCCCCCCGGGAGTGGTTTCTCACTTTCTGTTTCTCTGGCCAAGTGCACATGCCCGGTAGCAAAAAATCTGAGAAATAAAACAAAAGAGGGTCAGGAGACAGCACCCTCAACGGGGTAGTGACACTGCAGTCCCCCAGCCTCAGTCGGCCCTGGATGCCGGGCACGTGCCTAGCATGCTCAGGGATGTGTCTGGACCAACCTGGAACCTTCCCACGGGGGTCAGCCTTACAAGGTGTGCTGCTGACCCCCTGCCATACCTGGTCCCTGCACCGGGCTGTTGGGTGTGCAAATCCAGCCTCTAAGCCCTTGGTTTCAAGGGCAAGGACCACCCTGACTGGAGTGCCTTGGCACTGACACCCCGGGGCGAGGGTGGCCCTCCTGGGGCTGACGGGCACTGCCTGGCCTGCCCGCAGTGGTGACCATCATCAAGGGGAAGGTGGAGGAGGTGGAGCTGCCGGTGGAGAAGGTGGACATCATCATCAGCGAGTGGATGGGCTACTGCCTCTTCTACGAGTCCATGCTCAACACCGTGCTCTACGCCCGCGACAAGTGGCTGGTGAGGCCGCGGGGCGGCTGGGGGGCAGCAGGAGTGCAGTTGGAGGTGGGTGGTGGGTTGTGGGTCATGTAGGCCGTGAGACGTGCTGGGGCTCCCTGAGAACTCAGACACGCTCTGCCCGGGTAGGGGGGTGGCCGGGCCCCTAGGGGAGACCAGGCTGGGCAGAAGGGAGCAGCAGCAGGAGTGCAGTTGGAGGTGGGTGGTGGGTTGTGGGTCATGTAGGCCGTGAGACGTGCTGGGGCTCCCTGAGAACTCAGACACGCTCTGCCCGGGTAGGGGGGTGGCCGGGCCCCTAGGGGAGACCAGGCTGGGCAGAAGGGAGCAG